GCAGACCCCCCCTCTACCTTTAAGATCAGGCTGCAGACTTTCCTCCCATGATGACATTCTTAGACATGACAACACCCCCCGTGGCATTATCACAAATGTGAGTTGTCATCGTGGTGTCGTTTGGCTTTACATTTCAGAATGATCTGAGTTAAAGGATGCCAGTGGGTCCACAACAGCCCGTAAATGCTCTTCTCTCTCATTTTTCTGGCAGTGCCAAGAACGCCTATTCCAGGATTACTTCACCAACTGTTTACCACTTAATGAATTACCAAAGTACAGCGAAGTATGCATGAGGGATGTTGAAACAGAATAGGGTGTGTATGTCCAGTAAACTTTATAACATGCTCACTTATCTCTCATTCCTGCCATGCATGACGTTGCTCTGCACTCTATCAGTGAGTTGATTCATTTTATAGGAGCAAAACCAGAACAGTTATGCACACTACACAACCTTAGAGTTGCCCTGTGACCAACACCTACGTCGGCACTCTGTGAACCTAACTTTAAGACTTGAGTATATCTCTCATTCAGCGCGACTTGGAATATATTTAGAATATGTCTTTCTCTTCACACCTGCTGATTCTGTCTTTGTTCATCTGGCTATGTTCCTCAGATGGTAAGATTTCAATTTGATACAATTCAGCACAGATATGCTGTTTTTAACTCCGAGGATATTGGAAATTGCTTGTTGATGAAATCACTTTTGAATTTCTTATTGATTTCTTGATGCATTAATTAAACTGCCTTTCTCCTCAATAGTCAGAACTTTTAGTTCACTTTGACACATAGCAAGTAGTTTAGTAATTTTGTCTGGAGTGTTCTAAAATCTACTCTAAATATAACTGAACTGGGCCTTTACATCTTATTCTTAAAGTATTGCAGTATACTTCTCATCTCACTGTCATACGGTGTGGTTAATCTTACTGGGAATGTGGCTCCATTTTGAAAACGAATGAATACGTTAAATCAGAGGACAGGGTGGCACGGTGGTTAGCACCGTCGCCTCCCAGGAAGAAGGTTCTGGGTTCAGGTCCTAAGGGACCCAGGACCTTTTTGGGTGGAGTCTGCATGTTCTCCTGTGTCTGTGGGTTCTCTCTGGGTTCTCTGGTTTCCTCCCACAGTCCAAAAACCTGCATGTTAGGTTTATTGGACATTCCAAATGTCCCTTAGGAGTGAGTGTGTGTGGTTGTTTGTCCTTGTATGTCTTGTGTGTGGGTTAGGGTTAGGGTTAGTCCCTGCGATAAACTGTCCAGGGTGTACCCTGCCTCTTGCCCGTTGACCACTGGAGCCTATTCCAGTGGTCAACGGGCATTGCCAAGTTTCTGTTTTCACATGGAAGGATTTTGACCTGGTGAAGACAGTTAATTAAAAAAAAAAAACGAGTAAAATAAAGCAAAATGCCACAGAACCCTAACCCTAAGATATGAAAACTGTAAAAAGTGAAACAAAGTATGTGCATAAGGTGCTGTTGGTTAACTGTCCAAAACTTCTGAGCATAAATCAGTAGCAATAGGACCAGCATGCAGTGGAAAAGCCTGCAGTGCGACAGCTGCACCCTGTGACTGAGCTGCTGTGGTGGCCTGGGCTGGGGGGGGGGGGGCTGTCCATGGCGGGAGCGGGGCAGGACTGCCGTTCATGAGGGAGACAGCAATGGGAAGAGTTCCTGTGGTTTGAAGTTTTAGTCCCAATGGACTTAATAAAAATCATCATCTAGTACAATAGAAACCACCTTATGAATACGAGAAAATAAACCACTGTTAGAATTGAAATGCAGTTTGTGTGAAGAGCCAACATTAGAGGAGAGGATGGTACTATCAAAAGTGTCTCCCTTCTTGTTCAGTGTGCTGTCGTCTCAGTGCCAAGCGGTCAATACTTCCCATCCTCAAGCCATGGCAATGCCCAGCTTCCATTCTTGTTAATTGTAATCTGCATCACAAATTGTGTTTTGAAATGACCAAATGACAAAACTCTCAAAAAGTTTGGGCCAGATAAAACCAAGAAATAAATCTATAACAATGTAATGATTTGGTGCGAGCTCCAAACTTTGATGAAAGTTCTTGTCTCAGGAAAACTCGCCTTAGTCGACATAAGGTGGGCTGGTGAGATGTCTGGGCCTAAATAGTTTGTGTCTGGAAGCATTATTGCAAGATTAATCATCAAGAGATAGCAATGGCCTATCTGGAACCTGACTGTGTGGCGTGAACCATCACTGTGCCAGAACTTCACCATGTCTGAAAATGGTTCAGTAATCTATCTGACATCGCTAGTGTCCTGATATAAACCCTTACCAGGAAACCACAGCAATGAATTAAAAAACAATCCATGTAAAAATTGTCCAACCTTTCTCTTGAATCCATAGATATGTTCTTGAGGGGTGGTGGATGGCTGGTCAAGGAGACCAGCGCTGGACCTGACCCCACCGGTCAGTCATCACCTCCAACACCAACCGACTCAGTGACTTCTGA